TTAGGGGTCTAGGAGTCGACCTCTGTCCCCCTGCCAATACAGACTGCGTACGGTCGGTGAGGAAGGAGGAGAACCACCGCATAACGGTGCCTCCCACTCCTAACCCACCGAGACGCCGCAGCATGATACCGTGGTCTACAGTATCAAAAGCCGCTGAGAGGTCCAAAAGAACAAGGACAGAGGAATAACCTCTGTCCCGTACCCCTAAACTGCATCCGAGGTGGTGGAAAAGAAGGTGACGGGATGTGTAGGATAGTTGGAAAGGAGGAAAGAGGAGAGGTCGTGGGTAAGAGGGGGAGGAAGGAAGAGGGAAGTAGGTAGGAAGGCTGAGGGAGTGTGGATGCGGGGGGGACGGACCGCCGATTATTTCTGAATACTTACTGAGTAGGCTTTTTATGTGTTTGTTTCTCTAATGAAATGCACCATATTTGTATTATTTGTTCATATTTGAAAAATTAATAAAAATTTGTAAAAAAAATAAAAATACATTTTTATGCTGCTGTCTTCCCTGCAGTGTATTCTGGGTGGCTTATGAGATGAGAACCATAGAACTAACAATACTGAAACCTGAGTTTTAATTCAATATAAACATTCCTAACAACATTTTGAAGAGAAATGTTGGATTCATGAGATTAAAAAAAAGGATAGAATAGTCTCAAAAACAATATAGATATTCAACATCTCCTATCAGTAAAAGCTACGGCACTTCAGAACAAAAAGCAGATTCCTGGAATAGCAGATGTTCCTAGAAAAGGCTAGCTAGTTTAAAGCAGAAAGATAACCATAGTGTATAGAAAATAGGTATGAGGCTAGTTTCTTCAACTCCATTATCTTCCACCAGTAAATGAGAATGGGATCCAGGAAAATGAACTCATATACTGTTCTGTCTAGAGACAGCTTCAATTGAGGGTGCAACACCAAGGATAGTATTGAGATTGAAGCTTCATAAAGACAGAATTTGCTTTTGCGTGTCCATAGCCTTCTCTGATCATCCTTGCCAATAATCAATGGCACAGTTCCCTAATATTTTGAGATGGCAGGTATGAACAGTCCAAGACCAATTCATGAAAATAACCAAATACAAGTCAATGGAGAGAGAGAGAGAGAGAGAGAGAGAGAGAGAGAGAGAGAGAGAGAGAGAGAGAGAGAGAGAGAGAGAGAGAGAGACTAAAATAGTGTTTTGTTTTGTTTTTTAAAAAGCTCATCTTTTCACCAAAGTGAAAAGTGAAAAATGGCAACACAGTTAATGAAATTTGCCTTATTGCCCCATCCGATGATGCTCCCATCCACTAAAAACACAATCATACCTTCAGTAAGTGAAGTTTTGGGAAATTGTGGATGAATTCCCATTCCTGTTCCAGGTATTCAATGCAGCCAACAAAGATGATGTCCTTCAACTCACTCAATGCAAAGTTGCTAGCTCGCAGCGGCATCACAAAGTTCCGTAATCCAATCAGGGGCGAGGTGGCATCTCCAAAAACACAGACTACAATATGATCACGCAAGTCACTGAAATATCTCTTTTTGGGTTTCTACAGAAGATAAAACAGAGGGAATATAGAAACGAATTTGGCAAAACAGTAATGGAACTGAAAATACTGGAAAATTTAGATTATTTTACCAACCTCTACAGAGAATGCATAGATTGTACCAACATACAACCCTTTCACAAGCCTCAGATTTTGGTTCAACTTTTAACAAGGTGACATACTCATCATTAATGCTAGTTCCAGATTTTGACAGATCTTTCAACAAGTTGCCTTCTATGAGGCTCAATGGGAGAAAGAAAGAAAGAAAGAAAGAAAGAAAGAAAGAAAGAAAGAAAGAAAGAAAGAAAGAAAGAAAGAAAGAAAGAAAGAAAAAGAGAGAGAGAGAGAAAGGAGGGAGGGAAGGAAGGAAGGAAGGAAGGAAAGAAGGAAGGAAGGAAGGAAGGAAGGAAAGAAGGAAGGAAGGAAGGAAAGAAAGAAAGAAAGAAAGAAAGAAAGAAAGAAAGAAAGAAAGAAAGAAAGAAAGAAAGAAAGAAAGAAAGAAATTTTTTTTGGTTCTTTCTATTGGTGTCTCTGCTGCTTACTTTGAAAGCCAATGCATCAAAGAGAGGCATGAACTTCAGAGAGAAGTAGTAACCTGCATTGCTGGAGATACAGATCTGATACCAGCCATGTTTAACACAAAGAATGGCAAAGAAATGAAAATATTTCAGTTGTAATAAATCTGAAACCCTAAATATCTGAAGGGGGAAGTCTAAGTTTCATGCTCCATGTCTTGAATTGTGTTTAGACATTGTGAATTGTACTCCTGAAATATAGCAAAAGAATGCTAAATCCACCACTGCTCCATTCCTAATCTCATAGTCCTCCTGGTACTGAAAACAGACATCTGAAATTGGGAAGGTCTTTAACTGATGGAGGTTTTATGTATTAAATAGAATCTATCACCTCTTACAAATCTAACAGATTGGTAATTTACCCATCAAGTGAGATGTCACTTGTGACTCATCTTGTTGAATGAGATCTTAACCAAGTATTTAACAGGGGAAAAATATTAAACTTGAGGTCACCATACCAATTAAAACAGACAAAACCCTCACAAAATCTAGTTCTAGCCTATGGATTAGTTCTTAGCACCCTACAGATTTATTATTTATAGCATAATCTTTGCATAGCAAATATATATATACCTCAACCTCCTAGAAAAATCTAAACTATCCTTTGGTCCACTATAAGGTGATGTATGTCTCTTCTGTCTATTATAGCCTTTTGTTATAGATTTCTGGGAACCTAATAATGTCATGTTGTGTCAGAGAACATAATGGTTATTTGTCATACTGGGTATTTGACATGACAAGGTGACTATACTTAGGTGTGACGGAAGAAATCTTTAGATGATTGGAACATTCCCTATCATGAGCTGTCAAGCAAACATTCATAAAACCATTTCTTCATAATGGTTTTATCTTTGAAGGCAAATAAAAGATTCATGTCAGGGAACTTTGCTGATGAGTGATTAGAATCATTGCCAAATTAAATGATCATCTCTAACTAATTGGATTAGTTTAAATTGAATAATGAAATTTCAAGCTGTATTTAGTGGAACGTGCCTTAAATCCAATTATTAGTCTGTCAAGTGATGCTAAACAATGGAAGTGATTCATTCTATAACCTTTTAATAGATGCTGGGGGTACAGGAGGAGGCTAGCCTGATTGGAATATGAGAGAAAAAGATGAATTTGCTATATTGAAGACAAAGACTAATGTGCATATTAAGTCCAATAGAAGAGGTTTCAACATAAATATCTTATCCCAAACTAAAGATGCTTCAAATTTCTTCTCAGAGTTTGGCACTCCAATGAATAGTTTAAATAATAAGTTATTTTTCTATATTATTGTGTTTATTGATAAGGTCTCCAAACAGCCAAATTACTGTGACCATGTCGGAAGACATATAAGTGTCAGCACAAAAAAAATCTCGGGCTTTGAACTACCACATCAGCGATGGACAATCCTGAATAGCATTTGCAGTTCACATGGCATCTGCCAGAACTCTCTGTATAAATGGGGCATAGCATCATCCCCTCAGTGTGACTGCGAGGTCCCACATTAAACTGTAGATTACATTGTGATCGTCTGTAAGCAGAGAGCATATATATCTGATTTATTTATTTTTAATGTTAATAATGCTGCACTTCAATGGTTAGATGGCCTAGACCAGGGGTAGGCAACCTTGGCTCTTTTATGACTCGTGGACTTCAACTCCCAGAATTCCTGAGCCAGCCATGCTGAGGGGAAAGGGAGAGGTTTCCAAGCTGAGCCATGCGGGCGGCCGCACGGGCGGTGTTGGGAGGGACGCGTCGCTCCCACGTAACACCGCTGCTGCGCGAGCTGCACTGGTTACCAGTGGCCTTCCGGGTACACTTTAAGGTGTTAGTTACCACCTTTAAAGCGCTCCATGGCATCGGACCTGGATATCTCCGAGACCGCCTTCTGCCACAGATTCCCTCCCACAGACCGGTACGCTCCCACAGAGCGGGCCTCCTCAGGGTGCCGTCGGCCAAGCAGTGTCGGCTGGCGACCCCCAGGGGGAGGGCCTTCTCTGTGGGTGCCCCCACCCTCNAGAGCCAAGGTTGCCTATCCCTGGCCTAGACATTGATCTTTGAACATAGATCTTTTAAACATCTAACATTTTATTGGGTTCTACTAATCTAGTTGAAATGCTAATATATATTGCTAGTCCATTTGTGATATGCCATACGCTAAATAAAAAAATAACTGTGACTGACCATCGCTATTTTAGGCATCACCGATGTTAGAAGTTACGTACTGTCTCAAGGACTAACAATTAACACATAAGCTTTTGTGTACCATTATCAGTGGTCCACCGCTTTTTGCTTCCTGTTCCAAAAGAAAAGATGGTAGCCATTCAGACATAAACTGTCTACAAATTCAACACTGGGGTAAGTAAGTATATGGTTTGTGTAATTGCACATGTAAATAGCAGATGGGCTTACAAGCTTCAGGGTTCTGCCTAATGATAGGCAGGACAGCATATTACTATTAATTTCTGACATTTGTGGAGAATACATGGAAAGTAGACATAAGAGTTTTAAAAGGACAACCTCAGAACTCTTTAGTTACTTTTTGAAGGAGGCAGAAAAAAATGCAACTGGGGAGGTTAAATTTCTCATAAAAAAACTTTGTTAAAATATTTTGAAATTGCATGGAAGGAACTAATAAAGCAAATACAAGCAAAAATGGCCTAACATAGAAATAGGTTCTACATTAACAGGCTGTAATTAAAACAAAAATAAAGCAATGCCCTGAATAAATCTAGATTTTCATCTAGGTTCATCACCTACCAAGAGTGCCATTTCAAAAGGGACAGCTTCACACCAATGAAACATTCCTGTATTATCCAATGAGCAAGTACTAGCTATTTCTTCTCCTTCTCCTTCTTCTTCTTCTTCTGAACGTCTAGGTGGACAAAATGACAGATTGTCATAGGATGACTAACATAGTGCCATCTATGGTCTGAAGAATAACAGACGTTCTTCAAAGTTTCTTTACCAAAAGAGGCTTACAACTGGACATAAAGAAGAAAAAACAGAGGATGGAGGACAGGCGGACAAAAGTGAGAAGGACATAATCAGAAGATACAAATAGGAAAGTGAGATACTTTGCTCTCATTTATGAATCAACTTGTTGAATGAGATCTCAATCTAGACAATTCTGCGTTTCTCCCATATACCTTACTTTAAGAACATCTTTTCGTTTACACTTCAATGAAGAATGCCAAGATTGCATTTAAAAAAGGATCGAATACAGAGTAAGGATTAATATATTTTATCCAGCTGGAAATGGTAAGTTAGTTGACATTTGTATTTTATCCCAAACTGATAGAAACTCATAACAATCTTGGGCTCGTGCTAAGACATTTCTTTCTTTTTGACATGGTCTCCTTTCTAGCCTTTCTTTATTGACTTCTCGGCACTAGATAATGACATGTGTCAGAGAACATAGCATTATTTTTTTGTATTGTGGATATGACTTTGAGAAGGTGACTGTAATAGATATGACTGAGGATATCATTGACAATGAGGCTACATAGTCAAGAGTTTCATAGCAAGCAGGATCCTCAAAACCAAGACACAAAACAAGTCCTTAAGTCCCATCCAACAGGATCTTTGGCAGAATTTACTTCCTCTTACTTCCATCAAACCACATTTCTGGGGCGGTGCACGAACATCTACAAAATGCCTTATTGCCAGAAATAATTTCCAGGATTCATAAATACACGTGCATTACAGAATCGACACAACTTACACCTGCCACAGATGGCTGATATTTAAGCAAAGCCAGAAATGAGTGACAGCTCCCTTCTCACCAAATAATATCCCAGCCTTTAGTAAATAAGTGTCAGAAAGAGTGTCAGGATTCAAGTTTAAGCAGCAGGAAGGAAAACAGTCTAGGGCCATTCAGCACAAGAGAAGAGTTGGTATTAGTAGATAATATGGGGAAAGAAATTAGTCTGTGTATCTCAGTGCACTTATGCCAAGAATAGACATTTTTGTCCATTAGTCATATGGCACCTCCCCAGCATTTGCAACCTCCCTCTTGCTGCCCAGATGATGGATTGGTCAGCTGTTGATTAAATTGTGTTTTGGCACTAGGGAAGCTATCTTGTTGCAAGCTCTTTTTAACTCAGCCCAGCTCAGCAAATCAATCAGTGCACACTTTTCCATCATCATAAAACCATGATCTATGTACACAAGCTGTCACAGACGATATCTCCCTTCACTCAAATGTTATAGGAAGCATCTATGCCCTGGAGGGAACACCTGTCAGAGCCCTGAGCAGAGAAATAAAAAGGCAAGGCAATGCTTGAAACACACTTCATCATCAAGGCATCTTTCTTCAGATATCATTGTGAAAGTGAGAGGGGGGGGAGAGGGAGGAGAGAAGGCTCATCTATCTCTAGGTGCCTTAACTGCTCTTCCCATCTGCCATATTTTCCACAAGCAATATGAGGTTGTCTAGAATCTACTGCCCTAGGAAGGTCAATGAGCAATTTTAATGAATACAGCTTCTGTGGTGGGAGGTCTCAGGAAACGTGAAATGAGAAGAGAGAAAAACAGGCATATCAAGATAAGGATTCAGTCTTCCAAGGAAGTTTCCAGACTCTGGCCACAATTTTGATCAAGCCTATTGAGCAAGCTAAACATTAGGATCCACTGCAAAAAACTAGCTTTCAGGCTTGAAATTTAGGAAAGGACCTTCTACCAATCAACAATGGTTCCTTTCTAAGATGCCATCTTTGAATGGCGCCATTTCTTTCCCTTTACCACTATCATCAGTTTCCTCTCTCTCTTTTCCCCCCAACACAGTCCCCATGATTGCCTAAAGGGAAAAGACAAGTTAAGTAGATGATTCTGTTCCCTTTTTATTATTACTTGAAGATAAGTAGCAACAGCTAAGGTGTTCTAGCAGATGTCACAGGCTGCTTTGTTACGGTTAATGTATCTTGGACTATAAGCACATTACAGATCAGACAGTTTATTTTGCTAGGCTGACATTATCTGTTTTCTAGGGTTTAAGCTGAGGACGGATGACCAGCTATTCGAACGGACTGGGTGAACATTTTTGGATATACTTATTTAGAGTGAAAGCTGGATTCTATTTCAAAAACTCAGGGGAAGACTGCAAGGGAAAATATCGTACAAAATTAGTAGTTATATTAAAAAATACCCCACCTCTATCAAATGTTGCTCTGTCTCCCCATCCTACTTTAATTATAACTATTAGAATTTTTATGGCAGACCAATCCTTTGCAGTTGAGAATTTCTGTTTGCCCCACTTTCAAGCAAATTCTTAATATTGAGGTAAAAAACAGCAAAACATGTCTCCTTCCAACAAGAAGGGATCTCACCCTAACTTTCAGCCTACTGAAGGTCTCTTCAGTAGCTGGGAGGATCTTGACATATTTTGAGGTGGGATTTCTGTGGGGTAGGTTAAACCTTTCCTGTATGCTCTCAGGATTTCTGAAGAGGGAATATGATCAAGAGTTGTTGAAGAGAGAATGCAATCTAGTAATGCTAGATCTTTGACCCAGCTTTCAAGTGAATCTGGATCTGATTTTTTTTTAAGGTTGGCCAAACTATGTAGAAGTGACCTAAAGCTGTGTGTGGTAAGCAAATCGAGAGCTGTTTGAATCTACCCTTATCAGGTGCAAGGAACAAGAACAACTTCATGAACAGACCAAAACAGTTTCTCTATTGTTGGTCACCTATATTACAAGAATCTCACCAGGCTGGTTGCATTCCCTTGTGAACCAGCAGATAAGGATTTGCTAATCTGGTCTACCATGTTTCCTCCCCTGGAATGACTCCATAAGGGTATGCCTCTTAACTCCCCCTTCTCCTTTAACTGGTGATCCCACCACATCCCTATAGAAAACCCATTGTATGCACAATACTCACTTTTAATATGCTCCCCCCCACTCCATATATGAGGTCCTCAGTAATTTATCTATGCAAATAAACTAGAAGGATTAAACTGAGCAAAATGACAGTACTAAGGACATTCAGAGCTGAAGACTGCCTTGGATTTGAGTATCCCTAATTCATTTAACTGTTATGTCATATGGATTTTCATTTCGCCCTACAATAATAAGGCTTGATACAAAATGCACAAATACTTACAAATGTGTACAGCATTTCCATGTCACTTTAATGCTATGTTTATGGGAAGCTGTCATCTCTTCCTCTATTTCCACTTCATTACCCTAAATTAATACCACTCAATTTATAATAATGAAGGCTTTGCTTACCATCAATTGGAATATTATAAATTAAGATATATGCAGACCCTCAGTTTGTATATTTCTTAAAAAAAAAAAAGATTTATAGCATTTCAACTACTATCAGTGAAAAGCCCTTGCAGACAGGTAAACCCAATAATCAAATGAGCAGCAATATTTCAGCAATAGTTAATCTATCAAATACTCTTAAGCATCAAGAGTCTTCTGTCAATGTCCTCTCCTTAACGATGCACTCTTCTTCTCAATGGCTGGGCTTCAAAAGTTGTGGGTGCTCCATCACTGGAGGCTTTTAGGAAGAGATTGGACAGCCACTTGTCTAAAATGGTATAGGGTCTCCTGCTTGAGCAAGGGGTTGGAGTAGAAGACCCCCCAAGATCCCTTCCAACTCTTGTTTTTCTGATATTCTCACCTGCAGTTCCCTGCACTACCCTCAAGGAAAGAAGCTTTTCTCATTGGATGTCTTCAAACCAAGAAAGCTTCCTTAATGTTGCGGAGATACAAAATAGAAGAAATAAAATGGCATCCGCTTCATACAACGCACAGTTGCCCAGTGGTTAAGACATTGGCTTGTCAACTGGAAAGCCGGCAGCCTGGGTTTGAGACCTGAGCACCACAAAATGGGGTGAGCTCCCATCCTCACCTCAGCTCCTGCCAACCTAGCAGTTTGAAAGCATGCAAATGCAAGTATATAAATAGTGGGAAGGTAACAGCACTCCATCATTCATAACATCATTCTGGCCACATGACTGTGGAAATGACTTTGGACAGCATTGGCTCAATGGCCTTGAAATGGAGATGAACACTGCTCCCTACAGTCGGCAACGATTAGGGGAGTAAAATCTGCAGGAACTCATACAACTTTGAGTTGTATGCAATTTAATAATAGACTAAACTCAAAAACCTAGCCTAAAAATGGTAACTTAGGATGTTTCGTAGCACTTTAAGAATGAAGGAAAACAAACAGATGCCTCTTTTAAAAGAGAAGGCAGGTTCTGAAGTGGAAAAGATATGCAGTACAATAATGTAAAAAGTGAAACCAGAATATAATTGATTATTTCAAATTCTAGAGGGCAGACCAAAACTTTGCATTTTAAAGATCTGATTCTAAAAAAGAAGGGGGATACAAAGAAATAAAGTGCTGTAAGATTATTCAAAACTTTATTGCTCAGAGAAAAGGATGTCTTTGGGTTACCTGTGATCCCTAGCATGTTCAAATGAGTATAAAAATTTATTGCAAGCTTAAGCTCTCTACAAGAATCTGACCTACTAACATTCAAAGGAAACAAACAAGAATAAGAAAGCATTCAAGTGGGCTGGACTTAGATGTCTTGCAGGACTGTGGGGACTCATGACCTATGATGAGTTTGACCCCTCCCTTGGGCTCATGTTGGCCCTCTCCTACCTAGCAATTATGAAGCTACAGATCATCATTGCCAACTTTTTGATCAAGACTGATTGGACTAACATGCAGTCCCAACAATAGCAATTATTCTTTGTAACTATGCGTACATACACACACACACACACACACATATATGTCAAATTCTAATCCAAATTTACTATGGTGATTTCAGATTTTCCCCATTCATCAGACTAGACCCCATATTTGTGTTGCCTTAGAGAAAAGAACAAACATGGAATGATGTGAGAAAATCTC